ATTAATTTACCACATCAATAAACAGCATGGCAGGGCAAAATATATTTTCTAACATGGCAACCTTTAATAAGTGAAAGGAGATAGAAAGACAGGTGAGAAAGAATAAAACTTGATCGACTTTTTGATGGCATTTTACACACAGTACTGGTACAGAATCTAGAAAATGTGGGAAAATACTGGCATCATATACAGTACTTAGCTACTTCTGAAGAAATTATGATGGGACCCTAAAAAAAATTACTATGTACATTAATGGATTTCTATACATTTTACATCAGATGAAAATGTTTGTTGTAAGATTCATATAATTATTTGTTAAAAGCGAGACATTTTAAATGAGAATAAGAAAGTATTTCTTTGTGCCCTCCTCTCCCTGTTAATGCCCTACCTGCCCCCCTGGCAGAACTTTGCTAGACCCGCTCCTGCACAGTTACCAATAGGAAGCCAATGAAGGGAAGCCAATACAGGAGAAATATGCTCTCTCTTTCTAATCATTGTCAGGACTCTTGCTGCTGCATTTTGGATTAATTGAAGGCTTTTCATGGAGTTTTTAGGATTTCCTGATAATAATGAATTACAGTAGTCCAGCCTGGAAGTAATAAATGATGTTGGTACTTCTGGCCTAAGGAGGGAAAACACCATGAAAAGCTGCTGTGTCCAGCTTGTTGAGCTGGTGTTTCAAACAGGCTCCCCTCCACACTGTCCTCACTTATAAAGTGCTTTACAAACACAAACATTACAGCTAACAGGTGGATTTTCTTGTTTTAGTGCAGGTAGATAAACAACTTACTGCCAAAGAGACAGACAAATTGGGCAGTACATCGTCGGTTTCTTAACATTAAACTAATTTTTGCAGTACAAAAAGAGATCCTCTTAGATTCATTCTTAGTTTTTGGTTCTGTTACTAGTTAGGTAACACAAACTAAAGTAAGTGTATTGACCGCAACAACTAATCAACTCCGTAAGTTCCGTACTGACAGAAGATGGTGCTAAACAGGTTTAAAAAACTTTAAGCACTTTTTTTCCTAAATCCAACAACACAGAGTTACATCTATATCAGTTTTTGAGAGCACGGCTCCATGGTGTAAATTAGGCCTTATACATTTAGTGTTTCATTTCCACTAAGCATTATTGCTTTCTTCTTGTTCTGATGAAGTGAAATATTTTCCATTGTTCCCAGTGCTGTATCACAAAGTGTTATATTAGCTTAAGAGCTTTAAAATGCATCACTATAAATGAAAGCCTACCCTCTGCAGTATCCCTGGGCCTCCTGCCAAGTGTAATATCTTTGGATGTAAAGATATTCTCTTGGCAACACTGATGATGATGGCGTCGTGATGATGAGGAGAATGAAGGTTCCACACAAGATGGTCTTCAATGCCAGCCAAATTCTTTTGTATCGAGAGCATTAAGACACTTTTACTTAAATAGATGGATAGTTCTTTTCTATATGAGCAGTTAATATGAAGAGCAGCAATAATCTTAGTGTTCAGTTGGTGCACATACCTGCTCTTATGCATCATGTTCCCTTTTTTGCAGAGTGTGATGTTCAAGTGTTTACGAAGAAATACCTGCTGCTGCCCGGTGAGCTACCAACATCCAACTGAGTGTTTCACTGCTTAAATTTCATATACAAGAACGCTGAGTTGACTAACAGAAATGTAAATGTCTGCCAAACATCAGCCTTCAGTCAGTGCATATGCAGAAGGCATTTGACTGTTGTCAAATGAAGGAAAGATTTACATAAAGACAAACGTCTTGCAAAAGAAAACAGGCAAGTTGAATGTAAATTAAAAATAGTCTTTGCATCATCACCTCGCAGACAGCAGCATCAGCAGACGCAAAGATTAGACATTTCTCTGAAAATTGGATCTTGAGGGAAAAAAAATACATTACATGTACCTGTGAAATAAAAATCCAGAAAGCCAATCTGGGAAAAAGACAAGCCATTAGAAGCAGTGGGATCATCAGTTCAATGATTTGCTGGGAAGCCTTTTGGGCATTATACTCAGAATGAATAAGTAACCCTAAGTTAGTTATCATAAGTGAGCTTTACTCAGTTTTTTTTTTTTGAGGCAATGAGTCTGCATAATTTGTTTAACTTCTGGGAACTATTTAGATTTTACAGTGT